CGGGCAAACATGAGCTTAAATAGGTACTACAAGGATTAGTTCGGCTAACATTGACAGGGATATATAGACATTATCCGCCCCAACCAGATTTTCTTTAGGTTGGTTCACCCCATATCCCTGTACGCAAGGGTAAAGCGGCTGGAATTTCAGGCACCCCAAAACAATTTCAATGCTTCCCTAACCACAACAATCAGTATCTCTGTCTCATCGACATCTGGCTGTATATCACAGGGCTGTGAAGGATACACATGCAAGTATGGATAGACGGTACCTCTGCGTGCCGCAAGGCGAGACGTAATCAAGGGGGTTTTAGGTATCAACGTGAAGTTCGGACACCCTCGTCTCATAGCATCACTCACTCCAGTAGGTGAGGTATGTTGCGTGCAAGAACAGAGTGTATACGGTGATTAGAGAACCGAAATTATATACAGGAAATTTCTATGCTCTCTATTATAGTCATTTCACTCCCAATCGGCTGATTGAGTCCTGTTGGACGGGGTTAAGTCTCTGACATGGACTGAGTGCGTTGATAGGAGCTCCTCCACAGTCACCTTGTTTGCCCAGTTCAAAAACTGGACGATATCCAGCGTGCTGGCGTCGACCTTGGTCACGTTGGTAGACCTTGCCACCTTCGGAATCACCTCACGGTCAACAGTCTCCGTTCCTGCATCGTTGATGATGACGCGGGCCGCAGGGTCTGAATAGCCGCCGTTAGACATTCTAAAGAAGAACATGGCAACCTTTTTGTCGTGCTGCGAATTTGGGATGTTAAAGGTGTTTTTCAAAGTCCAGCGAAGGCCGCCGTGTATCTGGCCTTGCCAGTTCTGCTCCCCATGAATTCTGCAGCCTTTACCGTCACCGATAGCTGCGCATCTAGTTTTGGTGGACTGGCTTTGGTGATTGAGTCCGTCGCCGCCTTCGATCCATTTTGCTGCAGGGAACTCATCGCAGCTGTACTTGAGCCCCGAAGGCTCGCGGTTACCTCCGGTCGGCGGCTGCCAGGCTTTGATCGTTAGATCGACAGGGATGGAGGCGGGGAACTCGAGCTCGGTATGGTGCCACTTCCCCAAGTAGGCCGGATACTTCGACCTCATGACGGTCGGCTGATCGCTTTCAGGGCAGCTGTGAGACTCCTTCCACGGGGTTCCCTTCTGAGGGCAGACTGCTTCCCTGCGGTGTTCGTTTCCCCGGATCGGCACGAAGTCATAGGTGAAGGCGGTCGGCCAGTTGCGGTTCTGTCCAGCGGGCGAGTTGAGATAGTTGCGAGCGTTTTGACAAATTGCGGGCATCCAGTAGCAGTTGTACTCTAACCAGACAGCCTTGCCGCCGAATCCTACCACGTCGAGCCACGGCCCGGTGTTCTCGGGTCGCCATTTTGGTACGGGGTTACCACTCGTGCCGGCGTGCCACGTCCAGTCCTGGTTGTACTGGGCTTCCACCGGCATGAGATGCAGTGCGATGGCGAGAAATGCAATGATAAACCAGGACGACATGTTGCAATGGATTGCAGGTGGAGAAGGAGTGGATTGCAGTTCGAGAAGGAGTGGAAGGGTTTAAGTGGAAACGAATGGGCAAATAGTTGAGCTGCTGGTGCATGAGTGAGTGAAAAGCGAACCGATGGCATCATGGCGACTGTGAAAGACATATTATATACAGAAAACCTCAATTTCTTGCGAATATCTGAGGACGAACTATCCCGCCCGAGTGATTAGCCGCCGGTTTCCCTCATCACAACTATCGCCGTCTTGAAGCCAAGCCATGGGTCCCTTCCCGGGTATCCTCCGTCTTGACTTTCTCAAAAAGGACCCTGTCGCCGCAACAGGGGGTTTCTGTCTCTCAATGCAACCTCGCACCAACAGCATGGATGCAGTCCTGACTAAATGGACCTCCATGTCGATACGGCCCGCCCTACTCGTGTGAATACAACCTCGCACCAACAGCATGCAGTCCTGACTAGTGTAAATGGGACGGGCGACCTGTCGATACGACCCGCCCTACTCATGTCAAAGTCCTCACATCTCAGAATTAAGTCAACCACCAAAGTCTAGAATATGGATCTTCATATTACTGATAATTGACCCACCATGTACACCCTCAGGCCTGTGACTCCACCTTGGCTGGCTCAGTCCCTGCTTCTCCTTGTACCCTTGTTTTGCTGCCTGATGGCACAATGCGATGGCCATGGCCTGTGAAGACAATTCTCATGCTCGGGTCAATTTTAGTCTGATACGGCTTTCCCCGTCGTCGCGTTTTTCAAGGAGCTGTCTCTTTCCAGTATTTTCCAAACTCCCTTCAGCTTGCGAGCAGAGCATCACACATCGAATCTCCAAACTCTGTTTATGTCTCAACGACAAACACTTCTAGACATGGGCTCGTTTTCAAAGTTTTTCGCAGTTGCTGGATGTCTCCTGGTTCTGCCATTCGGGTCTCTGGCAGACGACTGCCAACCTCACACATGGAAACGCAGCGCTCTTGGGGATGTTAGTTGTCGGTACACAACTCAAACATCAAACATTGTCGACGCGTCCTTGTGTTCCGAGTTCGCAGCTCTGTACCGCATCGATTCGGAACAGTTCATGGCTCTCAACCCGGACCTTGACAGTTCTTGCTCCAACATCCAACCCAAGACGGAGTACTGCGTGAGAGGACGTAAGTTGTGTCGGTTGGGCAGATTTCCCGCTACCTCACATGAGTTCATCTTGGCCGATGCTAACTGCCTCCAAGTCGTTAGGAGTACTTCCCCCTCCGAGGACGGGTATTGTGGCCAGGCCCACAGAAATGCTACATGCGCAGGCACGGAGATGCCGTGCTGCAACGGACTGACTGGGAAATGTGGTAGCTCTAGGTAAATCTCGACTGCATTCAATCGGTTCTTTTTCTTTCTTTCGATCTTCGTTTTGAGACACTGATGGGTAGGCTGCTGACATCAACACAGCAACGAATGCGGCCTCGAGATCTGTGACTATCGTTTCTCTAGTGGATGCACGGCGGTTCCGCAGAACGCTGCATCCGTTCTTGACGGCAACGCGTGCTGCAATTCTCAAGGGAATTGCGGCAGCGGGCCGGAGTTCTGCGGCATGGATGTCTGCGAAAGCGGCAACTGTACCATTGATGTCTTCGAGATGCCTGTTATTGCCGCCGCGAGAGGGTCTCTTCCCTGGCTGACTGGCACGACAACCGATGGTACATGTGGCGGCCAGGGCAATCGTTCCTGCGACGTGGTGTTCGGGAGGTGCTGCGGCCCCGATGGCTTTTGTGCCTCAGATGCGAAGGCTTGCGGTGAAGGCTGGTGAGTCTGAGAGACCAAGTCCTTCACTAACATTTTCTCGTGAAGAGCTTGACTGAGCTAACGACATTGTATGAAGCCAACCCGAATTTGGACAGTGTTCGTGATTTTGCCTGGATGGCTTGCCGCATCACTCCATTTTCCATCATTTTGAACGAACGTGGGGGAATTTCGTGATTTTGATGAGGTATTTACAAAAGAGTCAGAGCAGACGCTGTACCAGAAAAGAAAAACCCCCAAAACAATAAATCTACTTTTATTGCCCACTCTCTGTAACTACTCTTCTTCTGTTGGACACTTGGTTAGATCGTATGTGCACCGCAGAAACCGGCGTTTAGGGCCTACGTCGCGAATAATGTACCAACTCCTTCATCAGCGGCAGTATTACAGTCCGAAGTCATAGACCTTGTGTTTCTCAGGCTTGAATACTGGTGCAGTTGAGACACCCTGATGTTCGACAGTCTTCTTACCGTGGAATTAAAATTTTAGCTCAAAGGTATGGAGAAAGTAGTTTCCGTTGACCTCGGATGATACCGTCGGCGTCTGAGCCCAACGGCCCCACGACGCGGACTCAGATGTCAAATTGTCTGCACGTCCATCTTGGACGCTCGGTAAGCGCGATTAACCCATCGAAATGGTTCCAACCAGAGCGCGATTTAACCAGCCATTCTGCCTAACCATGTCGGTGGTGGGACAACGGAACGGTCGTGCATTTGCCGTCCCCCTACCATGTCGTCGTCGGTCGGGCCGGCTGCGGCGATGTGTCAACGTCTGTCATCTCATTTCCAGAAGTCCCCTGAATCAGGCCTTTGGGTTTGTGCGGCGAAGCTCTCGGGACTAGCATTACACGATTTAGAATATCGGGCTAAAACCAGAAAGAGAAAGTCGTAAATGAATGAAAATCATTGGAGGCTGAAAGTATGGACCGCATCTTGGCATTGAGGCATAGACGAGCTTTTCGGAGAGTCTTCCGACCTGTGACCGGGGCTGGGACCAACAGCTTCAAAACCCTGTCTGCACACGGAAGCGAGGCCGGGCCCTGCACGAGCAACATCCATGTAACCCATCAACCCTGGCATACCCGGGCTGAGAATAAGCTTCTATTCGTCTATCTCTAGCCGTCAGACCTCACAAGGGCAGGGGGAGCCTGATTTAACTCATGGCCGGCATGAATCGGGACGGGCTGAGCTAGGGTCTTATTGCCACCTGAGAACTACCTCCCTTGAATAGAGCCGTGTAATTACTCACAACGTCGTGAGAAGTTCTGTTATGGGCCTGGAATCCCATAGACTCGACGAGCAACACAGCCAACATCGTACCATGGTTCCCGGATGCGGGTCCTGCCAGGCAACAGCAGGGTTTTCTTCCTTTTCATGCTTTGGTTCGGATATTGTTCCCCGTCTCTTGTATTGGCCAACCATATGCCCACTCTTGAAGGTCTTCCTGAATGGGCACGATCAGGCCCGAACTACTTTCTGACTTTGGTCTTTATTATGACAGAAAGTCAACATTGAAGGTGATTTCCAAGGTGCTCTTTTCATACTCCTGGCGCGAGTGCCATCCATCACTCTTTTTTCTGAGAACATACCGACTGCTCGTGGACCCAACCTCTGGCTGAGTGATTTGGTCGTGAGCAGCCATGTTGCCTTTTTATTTTGTGGCCATCCTACTATGGTTGGGATGTGCCGAATCGAAAGCTGTTTTTGCCCATTTCATGGTGAGTTGGTCTATGCCATTTGGTACCCCTGAAAAGATTCAATTCTAATCTAACACATCGGTGACTAGGTTGGAAACACGGAACACTATGGCGATGCAGACTTCTCGAGAGAGATCTCACTGGCCCAGCAAGCCCACATCGACGCTTTTGCTCTGAACTTCGCGTACGGAGAAAAGACAAACGACCTGTCGCTCCCCGTCATCTTCAACGTAGCCAACCGCCTCGGCTTCAAGCTCTTTTTTTCTTTCGACTATGCCGGCAACGGCAGCTGGCCCCAATCCGATGTCATCCAGCTCATCGAGCGGTATGCGTCAGAGCCTTCCTACTTTAGACACGAGGGCACCAAGCCCCTTGTGTCGACATTCGAAGGGCCTAAGGCGGCTGACGACTGGAACCTGATCAAGGAGCGAACGGGCTGCTTCTTCATGCCATCGTGGTCCTCCCTGGGGGCTAAGAAAGCATTACGCCCCGGCGTTGCCGACGGTCTATTCAGCTGGGCGGGGTGGCCGGAGGGTGCCAACTCCATGGACACCGTTATTGACCAGTCTTATCGCGAGTTCCTCGACGGGAAGCCGTACATGATGCCTGTCAGCCCGTGGTTTTACACCAATCTTCCCGGATACAACAAGAACTGGCTTTGGCGCGGCGACAACCTCTGGTATGAGCGATGGGTCACAGTTTTCGACTTGCAACCCGAGTATGTCCAGATCATCTCGTGGAACGACTTCGGCGAGTCGCATTACATTGGACCCTTGAACGACAAGGCCTATGTTGCCTTTGATGTGGGCAGGGCGCCGTTCAACTACGTCAAGAACATGCCTCACGACGGATGGCGGCTCTTCCTGCCATATCTCATCGACATGTATAAGAGCGACATTGCCACCATCACCGAAGAGGGGGTCGTTGGCTGGTACAGACGGACGCCGGGATCCGCCTGCGCAGCTGGCGGCACCGTGGGCAACACCGCGGCTCAGCTGCAGCTGGAGATGCCCGCCTCGATGTTGGCGCAGGACATGGTCTTCGTGTCCGCGCTGCTAACCAAGAACGCGCTCTTGACCGTCACTATCGGTGGCAAGCTATCCACGGCGTCATGGAGCGTCATTCCACCCGACGGCATCGGCCTATACCATGCCGCCGTCCCTTTCAATGGGAGGACCGGAGACGTCAACATCCGACTTCTCAGGGACGGCAACGCTGCCTTGGAGTTCACTGGTGCATCCATCACCGGAAGCTGTCCCGAGGGCATTCAGAACTGGAACGCCTGGGTGGGCAGCGCGTCCAAATCCACAACGCCCACGGTGCCGACTAAGCGTGTCTCCGAGCTCCAATGCCAGAAGGGGTGGTCCAAGGACGCACACAACCTCATGTGCAGCTACACCTGCCGGCACGGATACTGTCCTCCCGGCCCTTGCACATGCAGCTGGCTCGGCACAGCGGCGAAGTTCGAAAACCCGCCCGTTGGTCTCATTGGGTTGCCCGGGCCCGGCATGCTGTGCGACTACCTGGGTCTCTGCAGCTTTGCCTGCGACAACGGCTTCTGCCCTGCTCCCTACTGCTTCCCGGATCCTAGCCTGGAGGGGAAGTGCGTGATACCCGTCGACCCTCCTGAGATTGAGGAGGACGATGATGACGACGACGACGAGTACGACAATGACGACCTCATCTGGATCGACCCAAAGATCTGGGACATGGACCAGCCCCGGGTGACTTGTAAACCGCCATGCACCCTAGTCTTGCCTCCGTGGACTAAGCTGCCCAAAACCACAATCAGCTATCCGGTCGAAACCCGCTCTGACAAGACCATCACACACCCTCCTCTGACTACCAGCGAATACGAGCTCTCGACGGTCATAGTGAAGCCCGAAACGACCTTCCCCGTCACGATCAAGCCAGAAATTAGCAGCACCAAGACATGGAAACCCGTCACATACACCGAGAACGGCACGCCGCGGACATTCAGACCGACAGATCCGTACCCGCCACCCCCGGGCCCGACCCCGCCACCACCCCCCCCGTTCAAGCTTCCTGACCCGGTGGTGATCGAGAGCGGTCCTCCCGGCCCTCTCGTCAGCCAATGCGCCTTCCCGGCCCTCGGCTGCCCGCCGCCTTTATTGGACGAGGACGATTCTGACGGGGATAGCGAGTATGATCCCCAAGACGGGGACGACGACGGAAGCGAGGAAGAGGGCAGCTGTGAGCTGCTGCCTGGCACCGGAAGCGGAGACGGCGGCGGCGGTGGGAACGGCGGCAGCGGCGGAGGCAGCGGCACCACTCCCCTAGAGTCCCCGAGACCCTCTGAGAACAAGAAGCACTGCTATGGAAGTGGCCAGGTCGTCGGGCGGGACGCGCTGGCTTCTGCTGCTGACTACTTCTGCACCAAGGTGACGGAGGAGTACAAGAACCCCCTCGGGGGCGGCTCCCTCATTGAGTACGGAATTCTCTTCAGGGCCATCATTAGTTTCAAAGTAGATGTGTCGGTCGAAGTGAAGAACGGTTGCAGTTGGAGGCCGAATAAGGAGGAGTGCATCAGGTACACGAATGTGCCTCTGGACAGCTGCGACTGCAGTGGCACGGCTTTCAAGTATGGCGGATGGGTGGAAAACAACTGCGTCAAGTTCAGGGTCGACCCTAATTGGACTTAGTATAGCTGCATTTCAGCCTGAGCTGCAATACAGGTCTTGTTTTCAGCGGTGCATTGGCTTTGTGAACTTTCCGCTGGAGGTGATATCTATCTCTTCCGTTGACCGAAACAATTGCGGATCATCCTTGAATGCGAACGAAATTAATTCATCATTAACTAAGGCTAGTGTAATCGGGGTCTTTCGCAGATAGGTTGAGGAAAAGAAGTCGCAGACCAACAAAACAGTCTAAACCGAGGCTGGAAATATATTATTATTTAAGTTCACTAGACAGTGATAAAAACACTACTACTTAGATTCATAATACCCTTCTTCTTATAACTAGTATTTATAAGGGCTAGATTATTATTCTAGTTGGTAATAACTAGTAAATACTTAATGTTATATATAGATATTATTATAATCTTCTTATTAGCTAGAGGCTATAGTAGCAGCGGCTAAGATTATATATAAATAAAGTAAATAATAATAATAGGAATATAAATATAATTAATCCTTAGGTTTTATATTCTATAGTCTAAGAAGGATACCCTCTTATATTTATAAAGTTTAAACTCTTATATCTAATATATTAAAAGTCCCTATAAATATATAATTATTTATATACTTAGTTAACTTAAGTAGAAAGGTTTATAATATATACTTCTCTTTTAGAAATAGTTATTTTAATTACTTTTTTAAACTATATATAAGTATATTTCCTCTTTATTTTTTATCTTATTTTTACTATATTTCTTTATAATTATTTTATTATTTCTCTTATTAACTTATTAATTAATTAAGTATAGATAAAGTATAATTATACTTTATAAAAAGTATATTAATATCTATAATAATAAATATTTCTTTTATATTTTTATAATAAAAGTATAAAAAATAGTAATCTTAGTATAAAAAGTAGTAACTTTAGTCTATTTAATTTTATTTATAGTAGTATAAATCTTCTTAGTAATATCTTATTTAGTTATAATATTAATTTTAAACTTAATAATATAAGAAAAGAGGGGCTGCTAGCCTTATATTATGAAATTTAAGTAGTATTAACTGCAAAAGCTAGACTAGTCCCCTTACCCTCTACTAATAACCTTTAAGTTATGTGATTATAGTTTAAACTTAGATATTATCTTTACTTCTACGCTCCTCTATCAGTCCTTTAGAACTTTAACTATTATAATAAGCCTTAACTACCTTCCTCTAGCTACTTCTATCTCTACTCCCCTAAGCTACACCTACTCTTCACGCTATATTTAATCTGCGCCTGTTTTCTATTAAAGTCTCCTCTACTATTTAGACGTCTATGCTTAGATAACATTTTCTACCCTACTATATAGTCTTAATAACCCTACTACTATTAGCTATACTCTCGCTATATTCGCCCTTCTTAACTTACTAACTACTAAGGCTACTTTAGCTATCTTAAAGAAGCTTATAAAGTATTTATAAATATTAGGATTATTATTAGTAACTTTAACTATATCTATATTAATCTTAAAGCTATATAACTCTAATATATTATATTTTTTAACTATTTTAAATAAGTACTTCTAAGTAAATTTAAGTAGAGTTTTTTTATTAGTATATAGAAAGTTACTATACTTAAAGTTTTTAATTTTATTTATTTTAGTTTTATAAATTAAGTTATTTAGGGTAGCTTTATTTAGCTTATATATAAGTATAATAAAGGGGAAAGATATTATATAAAGTTATTATATATATAAAAGGATATAAAGAATAAGCTTAAAACTTTATTTAAATAGTTAAGTTTTTATACTATAGCTATAAGAACTTTTTTAGCTATAGTAGTAAAGAGTTATATTATTAAGTTTATACCTTTAAATATAAATTTAAGCTATTACTAAGCTCTAGCTATAAGTACTATTAGTATTCTATATTATAAAATAATATCTTTATAACGTTATAAATAACGTACTTATAAATAATAGTATTATAAATAATACTCTTATTAGTATATTTTACTACTCTACTATTTACTTACTTACCCTCTTCTACTAAGGATAAGTTAAGCTAAGCGTTAATAACTAGTTATACTAAGATTTATTTATTTACTTTATTAAGATTAAGTATAGGTTAAAATGCTACTATTAGGTTTTAGTATTATGAAAAAAAAGTATAGAGTGAACTGTAATACCTACTTATATAGGTTAACTAGACTGCTAATATATAAGAAAAGAGTTTATTAATAATAATAATACTAATATTCTTAGCTATAATAGTAATACTATTAGTAGTAATAATAATAATAATAGTATATTTAATATTTATAAAATAAAGTAGAATAGCTATTTTAAAACTAGTAATAATAATATTAATATATTTATAAGCTTTTATAAAGTCCTTATATATATAAGTATTAGTATTAGTAATAATATTAATATAAGTAAAAAGAGTAATAAATATAAAGTTAAAATAGTTAAGCTCTATAAAATAACTTATAATAATATTATTAGTTTTACTACATTCTCTAATAAAGTAAGTAGTTAAGATATAAGTATAACTAGAGAGGTAGTTACTCTATAGCTTCTTAAGATTAATAGTAATATTCTTGTATTAATCCTTACTAGTAATACTTTTAATACTATTAAACTAGCGGAAGATTTAACGACGTTCGAAACGCACGCAGGGCTTGTCTAGCCAGCACGCTCCCTGTTCTTCGGAGAATCGCAGTTACGCGCGGGCTGGAGACCTACACCAAAGGGTACATGGATCCACTCTCAGTGTCCATTTTGCTCCTTCGACATCTAGGCAAGACGCTTTCTCGTACTCACACCATCGATCTGCAGGATAGATTGGTAGGGGAGCGGTCGCAACGCCTATGGTATGTAACAATAACTTGATTCTCAACATAAATACTGTCATGTTTTGTACCACGGGCCTGGAATATGGCTCATGGACGATACTAGACTTGTCAAGATAGTCTGCGGTCCATGAGCTTCGAAGCTTATTGAAGAAACGACCAGAGCTGAATCGTATAGTAGCATGTATGGCGGTACAAATGTCAACACCTTCTGTCTCAGAGATTTCCAATGCTTCTGGCAGTGTTTGGTTCTTAGGTAGGGCACTGAGTACAATCAAAGTTTTATAGACATAAACTGGCAGCAGGAGAAGAAGAAGAGTTCATTGACAACAACAATACCATGAACTTGATACATCATTTAATCAAATCAAAGTCTGATACCAAATCATGTCACCCCTCATTACTTCTACTTATTCTCTGTTTGAATTGGTATTAACACAGCCACCAAGAAACGGAGATCGAATCCAGCGTAAAGAATTTTACACCTGCCCAAGAGCCTGGGCAGTATGTTTATCTCTCAGAGCTGGGTCTCTCAGCTGGGAGCAGTCACAAATCCCTTCGCCATAACCTCCTGAATCCCCTTCGCCCACACATTGGCCATCTTGACATATCCTCCATCATTCGGGTGTCTCGTATCGTTCAGGTCATTAAGTGTGGGTGCATCTGGACTCCGCATATCGACAAACCCAAACTTTGCACCGGATTGTTGGAACTGAGCTGCCACTGTGTTGTACTGTTCGTTGATTTTGACACGGCACGCATCTTGCTCCGGGACCTTGTTGGCGAGGATCGATGTCAGGATTACCGTCGATCCGGGGCTTTGTTGGTAGATCTTGTTGATCATCGCCGTAACGTTGGCTCCAGCATCTGGAACCTCCCCGCCTTTGTTGCAGTTGTTTGTTCCAGCATCGAGGAGGACCAAGTTCGGCTTTAGCATGGGAACGGCTTTGTCTGCTGAGTCCGCAATTTGGGCGATTCTGAACCCCCCGGTCGCTTCGACAGCATTGTCTGCAAAGTTGCCGTTTGTTCTCGTGCCGACATAAGATACAGTCATTCCCTGGGCGACCAAAAGGTCTTGCAGGTCTTTGCGATAGCTGTTGCCGGTGGTAGAGCCTGTACCGAAAGTGACAGACGCACCGAGTGCCATTATGCGCAGCGGTACAGCTGGAGCTGGTGGTGCCTGCCGGGGAATGTTTGGGGCCGCGAGCGCCCCGATACCGCCCAGTAGCGTAACGAGAGAGATGTGCATCGTTGATGAATTTGTCCAGGCCAAGCTGGTCGAAGAAAGGAATGACAGAATGAAGATGTTCCACACGTGAAAGAAAGTTGCGAATCATCCAAAGGCTTGGATTTGGACATTCAGCTCTACTTATTTGATTGCATGAGCCCATGTTGAGGCGTCCGTGCTGTTCTAAGTTGGGCTGATCTCTGATACTCGCACGGAACCGGATGCGGTTTCACTCTGGCTTGCAGTGTAACAGTCCAATACCATTCATCGCTCAGCCCCACTATGATCTAGAAACTGGACAGTAGTTCGGGACGATGGAAGCTTGGTGCAGATGATCGCCAGGCACCGCAAGAGGGTTTAAGTCACTCGGAGCTGAGACGACCGGGGGTTGCCTGCAGGAACAGCTTCTCGAGGCACCCATCAGTGCCAGTAACATTGAACGTTTGCCGAGATCCAAAAGCTTGTATTATTAGAAGAGGTGTCTTTTCCTCTATTGGACTATCCTTCGTGCCTGTCATGGATGGCGAGTCTGTATGTGGCCGGTCAGAAGAGCAGCAAGGGCGATAGTTAGGTTCTAGGAACTGGTCAGGCGGAGAGCGAACTTCCCCTATCACTTGTGTCCTTCCGTTGACAAATCTTTGAACCTAGTGGTAAAACTGCGACTGTCCACGCGTACCTAGGCCTGCTCTCGTGGTCACCTGGTAGAATTCTGTACGGCTTATCGCACAGAACAACCCATCGAAAATAACGCGAGTGCCGCCCCAGCAATATGTCAAGTACGAGGCATTCGCACCCGAGGCTCGATCTGCGATGTTCGCCAGGATGAAGACCCTGGGCCAGCAAACGAAAACGTCCCCGTATTTGTGGGAGCATTCGCAAGGTCTTTTGCGTGTTTGCGTGTGGAAAGCCACAATCTAGACTGTTTAGCTGAGCAATCACCGCAAGGTTCCTCCAGATTCACACTCGGCTCGTCACGCGAGTGGCTACATCTCCCTGAGTTCCTGCAGAACATGAAACTTGTCACATGCCAGTTCGTTTTATGTCAGGGGCCGCGTGGATTGAAGGCGACGATCAGACGGAAAGCTGCTCTAATTCAAGCCGAACTAGCCGAGAAAAACGTGGCAGAGATGCAAGACACTGAAACTCAACTGCATTGATGATTATCAGTGCGTTATCGCCTTGATTGTCGACGTAGATCAGTCACTACGCTGTCGCCGCCTTCACCATCGTGGTTAGCCAAAGCTGTTTTTTTGTTCGGTTAGGGAACATCTAGGAATTGCAATACTTCTCTTACGACCAAAGTCATAGTCTCCTGGGATAACTCGTTCTACCCAGCTGTTCTTATTCTTAAATGCTCTCCAAAAGCTGGAAACTGAGATGACTCGTTACTCCGTGGGACATCAAGCAAGACAGTACAATATCTTCGGATTTTGCTCAGAGTGCGCTGCAGCTTAACAGTTGAAAAATCATGCATCTGCCCACTCAACGGTCGCCATTACCAACTTGCCGTGACGCTGATCCGACTTCGCACGCCTATGGAACATGGATTAGTCCTGCCGACATGCGCCCGCGAAGATTCAATGAGCGGGTGCAACTGCGCAATCCGGAATGCGGGGGCTAAGAACTGTGAAGTCCGTCGTAGACCCCGAGTGGTCCCACAAACTGTGTTGGTAACTCTAACCGGTGTTTGGACGAAAATCCAACCCCATTGGAAAAAACGGTGAACTCCTGGGGACAAGCTTATCGAATGCCTGTCAGTTGAAATCAACCAAGCGGGGGCCAGGTGGAACCTTCGACATCAAGACCAACAGTTGCGCCATTTGGCATTTGGAGAGTCGTATGCTCTCGCTGTCAGCAGACTCAAAGTCCGGGAATTCCCCGGGCAAAATGAGTCCACATATCCACCAAGAGGAACACCCCCAACCTTGCTTCAACCGCGGTTGACGTCGTGGCGGAGAGTCGCCGATGCGGAGGGCGCGGGGTAGGTCGGAGAGGACCCGCTGGCAGTCGTCTAGTTTGTCAATCGGCCACTTGGTTTGTTGAATTGTCACCCCAGCCATCCGAGTTAACATTACGATAGTCATCGGACTATTCTCCGATCTCGCCAGTCAGAGCCGGTTAATGTCGAGTCATGAATCCACAGTCTGCATGTTGTCTCCATGACTTTTTGTGAATAGGACCGATTGAAAGAGGTCCATTTCGGGCCCTGCTTCACCGGGAATGACGTTGATCGGGTACAGTCACCGAAAGAAAATAACGGAAGCCCGGTTTCAATCGCCGGGTGCCATCACGGGAGGACTCTTAAGAGCCGCCTATCCCCATATCACTGGGCGGGCTCACTTCTTGTTGGCCCTCACCGGCATCTCACAGCGATCTCAAAGGCTTCCCGAACTCACAGTTCAGTCAACACCAGCCAGAGATCCAAGATGAAGACAGGCGTTCTCCTTGCGGCCGCTCTCAACGGCGCCTTGGCTGCCGCGCAAACCAACGGGTCTGCTCCGTCGGAGGTCCCTTACTACGGCCGTAGTCCTCCGGTCTACCCCTCTCGTAAGTGTCACTCTCAAAACAGGTCGTGGTAAGTTTCTAACATTTCTCAGCTGCTGGTAACGGCACCACCAACCCAAGCTGGGCGGCTGCATACCGTCAAGCTAGAGCTTTGGTGGCAGACCTGACCGTAGAGGAGAAGGCGAACATCACCCGAGGATGGACCGGGACTTGTGTCGGCAATTCTGGCGCGATCGAACGCCTTGGCATTCCATCTCTCTGCTTTGCGGATGCTCCTGATGGAATTCGCGGTCAAGAGTTTGTTTCCGCTTTCCCGGCCGGTATCCATGTCGCGTCTACCTTCGACAAGGCCTTGTTGTACAAGTACGGCAAAGCACTTGGTGACGAATACTACGGCAAGGGAATCAACGCTGCTCTTGCCCCTTGCGCAGGCCCCCTCGGCCGAGTCGCTCGCGGAGGCCGTAACTGGGAGGGACTTTCGAACGATCCCTACCTTGCTGGCGCCGGCATGGGCGCAATCACCCGTGGAATTCAAGATGCGGGCGTTATCGCCACAGCAAAGCACTGGCTGTTGAACGAACAGGAGTACCGTCGTCGTATCTCTGACCTCGGCGAAGCCATCAGCTCCAACGTTGATGACCGTACGCTCCATGAGCTTTACGTTTTCCCCTTCATGGACTCTCTCAAGGAGGGTGCGGCATCTGTTATGTGCTCTTACCAACGCGCCAACCACTCATATGGCTGCCAGAACTCACACCTCTTGAACGGTGTTCTCAAGACTGAGCTGGGCTTTGAAGGTTACGTTGTTAGTGACTGGGAGGGTCAGATGACTGGAGTGGCCTCTGCAAACGCTGGATTGGATCTGGTCATGCCCGATGCTGGGTACTGGGGCGACAAGTTGGTCGAGGCAGTCAACAATGGCTCCGTCACCGAGGACCGCCTCTCGGACATGGTCACGAGAATTCTGGCCAGTTACCACTACCTTCGCCAGGAGCATGCTTTCCCCCAGCCTGCTATCCACTCCAACTTGCAGAAGGCCTACCCCGTCGACGTTCAGGCCGATCACTCCAACTTGATCCGTCAGATCGGCGCCGCAGGCACTGTTCTCGTGAAGAACGTTAACAAGACCCTGCCATTCAAGAACCCCAAGTTCCTTTCCATCTACGGATACGATGCGACAGTCAAGGCTATTCCTTGGGAGAACCCTTCTCGCTACGGCGGCGGCTATGAGGTCAACTTTGGCTGGGAAACTTTCAACGGTACCCTCATCACTGGAGGTGGTTCTGGCGGCAGCACGCCCCCATACGTCGTTTCGCCTTTCCAGGCCATCCAGGAGCGCATCGCTAAGAACAAGGGTATTCTTCGCTGGGACTTCTACTCCGAGAACCCGTCCCCCCCTTACGTCAACTCTGAGGCTTGTCTCGTGTTCATCAACGCGTACGCCTCAGAAAGCTTTGATCGCCAGAGCTTGACCGATGAGTTCAGCGACAACCTCGTCAAGAACGTGGCTGCCAACTGCTCCAATACCGTCGTAATCGTTCACTCTGCAGGCATTCGCACTGTCGATGAGTGGATCGAGCACGAGAACGTTACCGCTGTCGTCTTCGCCGGACTTCCTGGTCAGGAGAGTGGTTACAGTCTGGTCGATGTCCTCTGGGGTGACGTGAACCCCTCTGGCAAGCTTCCTTACACGGTTGCCAAGCTTGAGTCCGACTACGGCGACCACCTGAACTCGAGCGCTTCGGATGACTACTTCCCGGAGAGCAACTTTACCGAGGGACTGTACATCGACTACCGCTACTTCGATGCCCAGAACATCACCCCCAGATACGAGTTCGGCTATGGCCTCTCGTACACCACTTTCGAACTCGCTGATCTAACTGCTGGTCTTACTGCCGCTGCCGACACGGCCGAGTATCCCGACCCCGAGATCGCCATTGTTCAGGGAGGGCACCCATCTCTCTGGGAGACAATCGCTGTCGCCAAGGCCGCCGTTACCAACACAGGCGATGTCGAGGGCGCTGAGATTCCGCAGCTCTATGTTGAGATTCCTGGTGGCGGTGAAGATACCCCCGTCCACCAACTGCGCGGATTCACCCGCATTTTCCTGTCCCCGGGACAGACTTCTCGTGTGTCTTTTGAGCTCACACGACGTGACCTTAGTGTCTGGGATGTTGTAGCTCAGCAATGGCAACTGCGCAGGGGTACCTACACCCTTTGGCTGGGCAACTCCAGCAGAAACCTGTCTCTGAAGACGACTATTGAAATCAAGTAATTGGTAATTAGAAACAGTCAAAAGTTACTGTTAATGAAGTCAATGTAATTTCACGAAGCTGTTCTGTGAAGTGTGTTTGCATGATTCTTGCAAATAATCAATGGCCTCTATGATTGATTCGTGTTGCCAATCAGTCAATATGTGCTGGCGCCCATCGAAGTTTGGTCATACATTCTCCAGGCAAGGAGAGCAATCGGAGATACCCAGCCAAAGTTCAACATTACCCCGGGGAAGGTAAGGCGTATGCTAGCTAGGATTTCGGAATTATCTAGCAATTACTTTGTAAAGCCGAACTGCGCCAGGCTTAGTCAGTTATCCTGGGAATGCGAATCATCATGCTGTGCCTAACCACATGTTCGCCCGCACTGATAAGAATAACCGCTGCTTAGTTTGGATTACAAAGCTTAAAGAGGTTCCGAAAGACTGAATTGTTGTGGAGCGCACTCCCAAAGACCGTGACCCAGAGCCGGAGAGACGGCTCGGCGCTAGTCAAGCCACCTAGCCCAACACAAGGCCCGCGGCCATCGTTCGTCCGTGGAAATAGCAAGGCATCCTGGATACCAAATTTGGAGGTTAGCACAGTTTACAACGAGTTTGAGATGTCACTGGTTCATAGTTGTAACATAAAAATGGCCAAGACACGCTGCATTTTCATTTGAGTGAAAATCGTCAGTTTCAACATCGCACCGCACATCCGACATTTTTGAACTGCCTTCAAATCATCTTATCACGTTACATCACCACAAGCTGTCGAACTTTCGAAATGGCCCGAGTCCTCATCCTTGGTGGAGCTGGCTACATCGGCTTGGCCGTCGCTCAGGCTCTCATTCGTTCTGGAAACTACACTGTCTTTGCTACTTCTCGAAGCGACACGAAGACCAAACTTCTTGCATCAAACGAAGTCAAACCTCTTATCGGAGAGTTGTCTGACATCACCTTCGTCAAGGCTATTATCGCGGAAAACCGCATCGACGTGGTTATTGATCTTTCCCAAGCCTACAGTGACGCGACCACGATTCTTGAAGCTGTCACTGGAGCTGCTCAGGATAGGGCCTCCAGGCTTGCCACGGAGAACTCCATTGGGCCCAAACTTGGATTTATCTACTGTTCCGGATCTTGGGTCCATGGCTCTCCCCGCGATCAGCGCATCAGCGACACCTCGGTCCCCAGCACATTCCTTGCTGCAGACAAGCCCGCTACAGCCGTCGCTTGGCGACCGGCTCACGAGCAGGCCGTGCTGAAGTCTCGGGACAACTTAGATGTTGCCATTGTTCGGCCCGGCGCTGTCTACGGACGAGGCTCTTGGGTGATGACAGCCTGGTGGGGCAAGGTGCTGGATGCAGCAAAGAGTGGCGACGAAAACACCATTGAAATCCCTGCCTACCAAGAGACTCGCACAGGAGTCGTTTGCGTGGACGACCTGGCCGACGGTTTCGTGCGAGTTGTGGACCGTCTTCCCACCTTCGGATCTTGGCCTGTTTTCGACTTTGTAAGCGAGACGATTTCGATTTCGACGATGATGGAGGAGGTGAAGCGTGTTATCGGCGCCAAAGGAGCACTTTCTTACGTTGGTTGTGATGGCAATCCCTTCTTCGAGGCTCTAGCGTTGATTTGCAATGCGACTTCAGGTCGTGCGAGGGCTGAGCTTGGGTGGATTCCGAAGCGAACAGAGTTCGTGCGGGACCTGCCGCAACTTGTTGCTGCCTGGGAGGCATCGCAGTAGTAGTGATTCAGATGAACAGAGATATCAAGCAGGGCACAAGAACAATATGGATACATGTAGTTTACAACAGTTCAATTCATAGAATAACGAGCCCAAACACATATCTATGCAGCCGAGAGAAGCAAAATTCTCGAGACACATCCCCTTATTGAATCATATTGATCTCTTTTTTTGCAACAGCAAGCGTCTACAGATTTGGTGTGGGTCATGTTCCCGAGACGTACTTATCGTAGACAATCCCTTCGAAATTCAAGATTGATGAATCCGATGCATCGAAGGAATATTCACTTATTGTATCGTTGATGAAGCCGTAAAGAAACCCATCCATCGTCGTTGCGATAGCAGAGAAGTTCGCCACCTTTAGCTCCCCAGATTCTCTCAGCTGAATGTTTGGTATGGTTTCATTGCGCGGCCCAATTATGCGACCAGATATTGTGCCGTTGGAGGAAAGCATGAAGTAAACACTTTCTGTCCAATTATTGCGCATCGTAACGGCAAATTGTTGTTCTGACTCAGCTGCCGAGAGCTCAGGAAGCATGATCCCGTCAAGGATTTCGGAGCCTAATCTACGTCGTTAGCATCCCAAGAGAAGCAAACATCGGTAAAGGAAGAGGATGCTGTAGCATACCGCGAGTCCAAGTATCATTTGTCCCGGCTAATGGATATGTCGCTTCGAGCATGGCATACTCTGTGCTGGCAGCGTCGGTCCTGCCCGTCACTTTAGAAACCAAACTGACTCTGTCTAGCTCCACACCGCGTAGTTGAGAAATGATGGCAAGACTTGTTCCGGTCGTGAGATTTGGCAAATGGTCGTCCACCGACGTTGGAACCCACTTATTGCTGTCATTAGAGACAAAAACGTGGCCGTCTGAATCTTGGTAAGCTAGGAGACGGTGGACTCCGAGCCGCTGGAAGCCTTCCTCGTCGTCATAGAACCATTTGCTTATTGAAGCTGCTAGTTGCGAATTGAGAGATGCCGAAAGATTTGCCGTCGCAACGGAGGTTCTTGGGTACCATTCGACACTCCCTCTCTCACTATCATCTCTGATACCATGAAGAATTCTGTCAGTCCCGAGGTAGACGACCATAGTGTCGCCACATCCCCAGTCCGCGCACGAAAGAGCCGCCAATGGGGCGCCAGGTGGAAGCTCGACTCTTTCCTCTTCCTTCGAAGACGCGAATTTGAGTGTCAAGTTGACGGATTTCCACTCTGATGAAGTTGTCATTCGATAGCGTGTCATCAGGGCGCCATTACCGTCCTGAAAAAGGACAGTGTGCTGCATTGACCCATTAATGGTTCTGTTCGCGGCTGCAAGCCTCGTTGTGTCAAGAATGCTTCCTACAACTTGTGCACTCTTGGAGGGGCTTTCCCCTTTTTGCAACCCACCAGCAACACCACCGGCGATGGCACCGATAACCACTAGCACACAGACGACGAGTACGGTAATGAAGATCCGTCGCGACAGACCACAAAACTTCCGTCCTCGTCCTTTCCTTACAGCATCAGTGTCCGAACTCGGTGGTTGCCCATCTGATAGCTCATAACTCTCCCCTGGAGGCTTGTGATGTTTTTTCGTGTCTGGTTGAAGATAGCGACCTTCGTCGTCCCATCTGTTGACTCCGGGGGTAGAGTTTACTTCAATACCAGACATCGCTTCGTGTGGTTGTTGAGGATTCCACTCGAGAGTGCTATAGCCTTGTGTAGTAGCCATCGTTCTGGGATCGATACAGGTACTGGTTGGGATGCGTGTGTCATGCGGTTGTGGGAGACTCCGTAGAAGACACATAGAGAAAATGCGGAAGCAGAACTAACTGTTGTCATTGTTATTTATTACATTTTTTCCCACTTCCCGTCCGTCTCGTTATCAGTACTTAAAATAAGATCAGGCTGCGGAAGATTGACGTCAAGCTCAGCCCCAACTGCAGTATTGCAAAGTAGATAAGAATTGGGGGCTTTTTTGTTCTCATTGGAAGCCCTCTCAAAAGCAATTCCAAATATCTCTAAAGGGAACGATTTTGGTCAGCACTAAGGCACGTACTCCTGCACGATTGGACGTCAGGTGTGAGGATTGTTTGTTGGTTCAATGATCGTCTCTTCAGGCTGCTGAGACAGGACTTGCCAACGCAGCTGAAAGACTCGGCGAAACAGCCCACATCAGGCTTTCCAACACAGTGAACTCGCCTCGAGCTCTCGATATTTCCGCAGTGTGACGTCTTTCCCCTACACTCTTGGCATGCGCGATCGATCGAGCACCCTACAGAGGACGCGTTTTTTTTCCAGTGCTAGAGCGATACTTTTTCTTGTGGCTATACATTCTTCCTTCCTATCGTCGTCGCTGCTGTTGTCATCGTTATCATCCCTAATTTCATCGTCGCTGCTATCAATCCTGTCATCACTTCTACTGTTATTATCTTTGACCTAAGTCACCAAGTCTGGGGTATATAGGGGTACATTCACTGGAAACCTCGGCGGTCTGGCTTTTATTGTTTCCATTTCACAATATTCAAACGAGGTTTATACTCCATGCATTGCTTCAGGTAGACGGTGTGGTAAGAAAGTGATGAGTTGGCTTAGATCGATTGATTTGAGAAGTACGGTCCAGGATTCAAAGTATCTATGAAACTTCTGAATCTCCCCATGGGCCATGTCTATTATGCAACTATGATCGACGCTCTCTGGCGGTTCCAAAACCTTCTCTTCCTTGCCCTTTTAGCGGCAGAATCGTTCGTGCGCTTGTCGGACTGGAGCTCTTTGATTCTGAATAATTCTCCATACTCACTTTCTCGCTTTTGGCTCAGGATGTTGTAAAACTCCACAAGAACCTCACGGTAGCGTGACTCTATGATCTCGTTGATGCAGAGATCTTCGATTTCTGCCTGCTCTTGAAGCGACTCGACGTGTCGTTCGGAAACTGTAGAACGTGCTTGAGCAAATATGCCTGGATGGGCCTGGCGATCTGAGAGCCATTCGGCCGTCGAAGGCTCGTCTTCACCCGCTCGGAAATGAGCGATATCGTAAAGATGATCTTGTAGATCTCTGATTGATGTATCGAGTTTTCGTGTGGCGTATTCATCCATGCAGGCGATCGCGAGATTTGAGTAAGCCATTTTTGGTGAGTCTGACTGGACAATATCGAGCGATGCGAAAACAACTTCTAGGTAAGGCGACGCTTGTGATGCAGAAGAATTCAGACTTGGACCTTCTCTGAGTATTATATGCTTTGGGACTTTTGGGGTTTTCAGGGCCTTCCTATGGCCACCATCTTTTCTTTCATGCCATAAATATTTAATCTTCAGTATTATCTGTGATACCTATGTTTTTTGATGACGAGGAATCTTCACCGGACTTCCAAAGAAATTTCCTTTTGCCTCCAAGTTTGAGGTCATGGCCAAAGCTTTGGGGCAACCAAGATCTCACAAAGATTTCCAGGGAGCTGTCCAGGCCGGTCTCAAGCGGCCTCTCAGCCCTGCCAGAGGTTTCACTGATAGGATAAAGGAATCCTACACAACAGCATTGTTCTGATTAGTCCGATGAATAGAACAAATTTCAGCCTCAAGCTTTGACCTCAACCTTTGCGTCACGACACTCCTCTGGTAACATGTGCCGAGGCTATTGTCATATCACTGTTGAACTCCCCATCGCCTCTGATGGCTAGCTGCCTTGTAGAAAACAAGTTGCTTTCTAAGCCGTCTCTAAGCCGTCAGTTTCACACCATGCTTTCTTCTCAGGTAGGTACATACATCAAGAGACGCCAAATCCAGTATACGCCTGCCACAGCTAATCAGATTTCTTTGACCAGAGACTTGCAGTCCTTGGCAGTCATTGGCGCATTAGCGCCGCTTCTGCTGACTAAACTCCCTAAAATGGTTTCCCCCTGCATATCGCAGGCATCAATCTCTTTGACAACATTACAAGAACTCAAATCCTTTCATCGTGATAGCCGTTTTATCTTGAGAAAGCCCAGCTTTTGAGACTGCAAAATGTCAACTCAAAACATCGAAACGGACCAGGATGCGAAGACCATCTACAACTACCATCGCATGGGCATGCCCCTCCGCCCCGCCTCCGCCATATTCTGCCTCTGCAGCCTGGATACACGCGTAGCTTCCCGCGCTGCTCAGCTCTTCCTCGACGGTTACGGCGACTACCTTATCTACTCGGGCGGCGCAGGAAAGCTTACGGAGAGTCGTTTCTCAAAGCCCGAAGCTGAAGTCTTCGCGGAAATCGCGCAGGGTATGGGCGTTCCGCACGACAAGATCATTGTGGAGCCCCGGTCGACGAACACTGGCGAGAATGTGCGCTTCACGTATGCATTGTTGAAGGATAAGGGGTTGAAGACCGATAGCTTCGTTTTGGTACAGAAGCCTTATATGGAGAGACGCACTTACGCGACATTCCGGAAGCAGTGGCCTGATGCGCAGACGGAGTTTACGGTCACCAGCCCTGAGTTCGGGTTTGAGGATTACTTTGACGCAGAAAATCCCAAGGAGCTGGTTGTTAATATCATGGTGGGAGATCTTGTAAGGATTCGGGAGTATCCAGCAAAGGGGTTCCAGATTGAGCAGGAAATTCCTGAGGAGGTCTGGGAGGCCAACTCAAGACTCATCGCCGCGGGCTATGATGGACATCTGCCGTAGACAGACACACCAGTTTGGCTCTTCAGTGTGGTCAATCAATCACTAGCGCAATCGTCACTTCGATGACTTGCAGATTACAAACATTGAAGTCATGTTAAGATACTGGATCCAGCAAGGGCGTGGGGTACGGGCGGTTAGTGGGGTGTGGGAAAGCCGGCCCGTTGTGGGATGAAGTTAGGATGAGCCCTTCATAGGTTCCTAGCCTCAGAACGGCAATGAGACGACATCTGATTCAATTGCGTCAACTGCCGGTCTTGTACAGACTTTTGATGTTCCGTTTGATGTACCATGCCCAAACTTCCGATATCTAGCAGGGCAACCCCTTCTTGTTTACCCGTATACAAGTTTCAATCGGCTCAATG